TACTGCTCCTGCAAGATTGCAGCGGTCTTCTTTGAGTGGTGTGGTTGTTGGGGGTTGGGTGTCCCTCTATTTTAAAGGGGGCAAGGTTGGGACAACACTGGTTTAATAGATGGGGAAGAAGGTAGCTAAGCCATCATATTTACCTGTGTTTCTTCCACAAACAGGAGTTGATCCCATTGGGAAATTAGCCGCTTTAGAAATGTATCCCTCTCCCTCTGTTGTACTTTAAATCTCCCAACCATTTTGTAAGGATTCAACATACATTGAGTCAGCTCATTCTGCATCACATCTGTAGTTTGAACCTGAAGTATGGTTAGCTTGGTTGACCAGGGAAGAAGTCATCTGGGTGATACAGTAAGGATTGTTGAGAAACAGCTTCTGAAACCTTTTTAGGGCAAATATATTGTTATGAAAAATTAAGAATAATAAAAATGGTTGCATTTTGGCTGATCTAAAATTTTCCACTTCTTTTGCAGGTCCAAGTTGCCACATTTTCTTCATGTAAACCAGAGACCACTTCCTAAACAGCTGTATTATCTTAAAAACATATAAACACTTAACCCTCCCCCTTTTTGTAATATAATAAGACAAGTCTGAGTAGTTACGAATCACAGACGCAAGAGATTTCAGCATTCCTGATTTTGAAATAAAGAAAAAGTGCAACTTGAGGGACATCTCTTTTCAACATATCATTCGGAATGTTTCCAGCAGTATGTTAACAGCTGTAAATGCACAGCCAGGAGACTGAATGGCAATCTTCTCCACACTGTGGGACAATGCATTTGTGCCTAAACTTCTTTTGGAAAAAAAAAATATAATTAATTTGTAAGTCTGAAAAAAAAAATATTTAATTTAAAAATTGTAAACTTGCAATAATGAAAAGTGTACTTCTGAAGAAAAAAAAATGAACGTTTTCATTGGTGTACTAGTCAGCTAGTGTTTATACTTACTGGATATTAAAAAGGGAAGCACCGCTACCCCAATATTTACAAAACCAGCAAATGTCCTGATGAAAACTGAAGTAATGACATTAGCCATTCCTTAGGGTAGGAGGAACAGATGGATCTTATAGACCTATGACAAATACAGACAAACACACCGACACAAACACACATATATAAATATATATAAATATATATATAAATATATATATATATATTAAAA